TATCTTACACATGAGTTTTTCAAGAACTTGAGTAATTTTTTCAAAACTAAGTACACTGTGCTTTGGTTTAAAGCTATATATGGAATGTTAAAGAGTTATTCAAATATTCCTAATTTGCTTTGATTGAGGATTATATGTGTTTTGTGTCCAATAATAACTGTTTTTAAATATCTCATAAACTTTAACAACATTTTGCTGCATTCTTCTAATAAATTTCTACTAGATTTATCCAAAGAATAATTCATGAGGTATTTAGAGAATAAATTACTAATATTTTATTTAAAATTACCAATACATTTTTTATTAAAAAACACTTTGCAGTTTGCTGTCTTAATTTCCTTTCTTATCAACACTTTACAGTAAGCTTTGATAATATCACTACATGAAGTGGAAAAGTTTCATATATATTCCTCTTCTGAAATATTGAGATCGTTTTCTATGTCATGAAAATGAATAAATCTTGCACTGGTACCACCTCTGCTGGTTTGTTACCTTGAGTGCACTATTTTAGTATTTCCAATTATTTATCCATTAAATCTATTTAACTTTTCTTTTTATGTGATTGAATTTTGATGTGTTAGGAAAAATCTCAGCATTTTTCTCTTATATATAAGAGTAATGCAAAGCATTGTATTCTGCATTTTGTTATTTTTATGATTTTAAGGTTCTGTCTATTATTTTATTACCATTCTAGGTGCTCATTTTACTAATGTGACTATGTGTTAACTGGAAGAAGCCCAGCAACCTGCAAAAATTCTGTCTGGCTTGACCACATGATAAGGTATGTCCATGCATTGCCTCAGAATTTGAGTGTGAATAATCACCTACAGTGAATAAATAAAAAAAAAATCATCTCCATTTTACAAGATGAGCTTTCTTCCATTCTTTGGCCTCCCCAAATTAACAATTTTGTCTACATTACTTCTACTTCTTCCTATGTGTACAAAAGTCTTTCTTTGGACTATGATATGCAAAACTTTAATAGTATGACTATTATTTTTGTATTATTAAATGCTCTGTGTTTCTTGCATTTAAACGATTACCATTTAAAATATGAGTAGAAATTCAGGATGACTGCAACTGTGTTGTGTATGTAAGTATACATGTTCACAGTTATTCATTATTTTTTATTGTTAGAATGTTTCCAGGAAAGAAAATACATGAATAACCTCGCCCGGCACATATTGCTAGTATTTGGAAACATTCCTAGATTTTTTTGGACCTTAATAAATTTATGTAGATACTCTCCATTTTGCAGCCTGTAAAATACATCTTCTTTTTGAGGAGATTTGACTGTTTCTGTTAGATATTTCTGAAACAAAATAAAATACTATATTTGGTTATAATTATAATACATTTTACATAAATAATAAAACAGTAAATCTATTCATTCATGGCTTCTATGTCCAATATTGTCAATGAATATCACTTTTGAAAAGTCAATATTGAAGAGAAAAGTCTGCACACAACACTAAATCTATCACCTAGTATATCTTTAGTCCTTATAAAAATTTACACATCTCTATTTCAACAAGAGGTTGCTATTGTTAAGGGACCAATGGTATAGAATAGAGGACACAGAGACTAATCCACAAAGTTACAACTATCTTATATTTGATAAAAGGGGCTAAAAGCATGCAATGGAGGAAGGATAGCATCTTCAACAAATGGTGCTGGGAAAACTGGAAATCCATATGCAACAAAATGAAACTGAATCCCCTCCTCTCGCCATGCACAAAAGTTAACTCAAAATGGATCAAAGAGCTTGATATCAAATCAGAGACTCTGCATCTGATGGAAGAAAAAGTTGGCTCCGATCTACATATTGTGGGGTCAGGCTCCAAATTCCTTAATAGGACACCCATAGCACAAGAGTTAATAACAAGAATCAACAAATGGGACTTACTAAAACTAAAAAGTTTTTTCTCAGCAAGAGAAATCAATAAGAGAGGTAAATAGGGAGCCTACATCATGGGAACAAATTTTTACTCCTCACACTTCAGATAGAGCCCTAATATCCAGAGTATACAAAGAACTCAAAAAATTAGGCAATAAGATAACAAATAACCCAATCAACAAATGGGCCAAGGACTTGAACAGACACTTCTCAGAGGAGGACATACAATCAATCAACAAGTACATGAAAAAATGCTCACCATCTCTAGCAGTCAGAGAAATGCAAATCAAAACCACCCTAAGATACCATCTCACTCCAGTAAGATTGGCAGCCACTGTGAAGTCAAACAACAACAGGTGCTGGCGAGGATGTGGAGAAAAGGGTACACTTATACATTGCTGGTGGGACTGCAAATTGGTGCGGCCAATTTGGAAAGCAGTATGGAGATTCCTGGGAAAGCTAGGAATGGAACCTCCATTTGACCCAGCTATTGCCCTTCTCGGACTATTCCCTGAAGACCTTAAAAGAGCATACTACAGGGATACTGCCACATCGATGTTCATAGCAGCACAATTCACAATTGCTAGACTGTGGAACCAACACAGATAAGCTGTTTTTCTAACGTCATTTTATATAACATTTTATATAACATTAAGGTAATTTTCACTTTTCTTTTGATTAGGGTTGACATGATAAATTGTTCTTTCTCCTTTGAACTACTTTCTGTATTCTGAGGTATGATGTTTTTGTAAGGAACATATAGATAAATCGGTATACCCTCATGCTGGTAGCTCTGACTCATAGGGACCACATGCTTCTAAGTAATGGATGTGCATTCTACACTATTTTAATTTTAATCAGACTACTACAAAAACTATGTTAATACAGCACACCATATTACTTCAATTGGGTGTAAATTGTTCTCCAATGTCTCATTTTTGTTTTAAGTGCCCTTGTTTTTTTTCACATTAAACTCTGATGTGAAAGACAGATAACTTGGTGCCAAAAGGATTTTAAACTAAAATGCAAAATGGGCTTTGAAATTGCATAGGTACTCAATTAAAAGTTATTCATTCAGATGATAGATCATATGTTTACATCATTTTTGGAGATTGAAATGAAAATAAAAATCTATAAACTCAACAATGATAATAATAAATTACTGGAGAAACAAACAGCAAAATTAAATATGAAAAAACTCAATGAGGATATAAAGGCTAAATTAAGACATTCTGATTAAAGAAATCTAAGAAAAACTTTTAACTACACATTTTTTGGCTTGAACTGATTCCCATATACACCTAAAACTAACAAAATCACACTGACTTTGTTATTTTCAGTAGTATACACTTCACCTTAATGATATACTTGTCAGAATTGTGTCTTATATATTTTATTTATATTACTCATCTTTGTGACTATTTAAATGATCACTTTTCTCTAAATCTTTCTACTACATGTTAGTTTGTGCTCTACTTATCTACCTGTACAACAGCCCATCCCTCCGAGATAAATTTCAACTTGAAACCCAGTGTTTATGAAAACACATGAAACTAGCAGTTGGTTCATAAAGACTGGATGTATAAATGAATTAATGAATTTATAACATGAAATAACAGAAGTTATTTCTCAGGAAAAAGATATTTGAAACTGTTAGCTATGCCATTCACACATCTGATTCTTCTACTAAATTCTATATAGTGTTTGACATTTGAGAATGACTATATTTGTTTTTGTTTCTAATATGAAGTTGCCACCATAATTTTTGTCTTAGTTTGATAGGATTGGCAAAGTAGGAATTTTCCAAGTAAAAAGTTCATGATCAGAGCTTATCTGGAGGTACTTATATTTTCTTAATGATTTTTCTTAGCACACTTTTGCTCTTTTATAAAAAGTGAATACCAGGTATTATGTAGAAACCCCATAATAGAGAGCAATAGACAGGAGAGTTGTAATGTTTATTGGTATTGACTGCTTACCTCCCCTGTGATTATCCATAAATAATTGAAATAAGCATACTTATTTAGTGAATTTCCATAAGTACTCATTCTAGAAAATATAATACAACTTGGGTTTCTTGTCCATAAAATTTAATTTTGAATTCTATTTAGAATAAATAGTTTAAGATACATATATTCATGTCAAGGTATCTACTTAAAAAGGATTCACAGGCAAAGGTGCAGTGTACACAAAATCACTCCTTTTAAAAACAAAATAAATTATGTTGTATTGTATTATGTTATTATATGCATATGAAATTTAGTGATATATATATATATACATATATATATATACATACATACAATGAAGAAAACTTTTCAAGGTGAATAGGCATTTATTAATTTTTATATTTCTCACTAGAAGAAGTTGGTATTGTACAGAATATCAAATAGTTTAGCAAATAATAAATCATAACAAAATATAATGTAAGAAAAAAGAGAAACTTTCAGCTCATACTTGAAAGAAAAATTTCATTTGATTTTTTAAAGAAACATTATTATCCTCTTTATAAATAGCATTGTTTAAAAAGTTATATATATGCATGTATTTGTGTGTGTATGTACATATCTATAAATAAATAAATATTATATATATATATGTGTGTGTGTGTGTGTGTGTGTGTGTGTGTGTGTGTGTGTGTACCTATAACAATGGTTACATGGGATTGGCATTTTTCCAATCTCACATATGAAGAAATAAGTTCAGAATAAAAAACTAATACAAATGCTTTAGACATAAACAAAAAGCTGAAAATTTAGAAATTAAGTCCAGAATCTTGAGTCTAATTTTGTTCTTTATTGCAGCTGGTATTAAAAAAAACTGTATGGAATAATAAAACAACTTTACAAATATGATCTATCTATTTATGAGATAATATACTTATTACTTTCTCTAGAGTGTTCTCAAATCTTGGAGTTTAATCCCTCTGGAACTCAAACTTCGGCCTGCATCCAAGAACACAGTCTTGCAGCTGTTGTTTATCCTGGACTGTTCACTTTTAGTTCCAATGGTCCATGCACAGCTGTGCAGTTGAAGGGATTAAAAAGTTAGAATATTGTTTTGGAGGAAGTTATGTACTGTCTCAGAAAGAATAACAATTTTAAACTCTTCAGAGTTTACAATGTTGACTTCTATCTCCTGAGGAAATCCTGGTCCCATTATATATTCTTGGACTCCTAAGATGAGCAACATCTTACTTACTTTTGATGTTGCAAATAAAGTATTTCTTGCCTTTAGCAATAATAAAATCTTTACAGAGAATGTTGCATCCCACAGACTCAGAGCGGCATTACAAAATATAATTCTTTTAACCATGATATAGTGCCTGTAGCACTTAAAAAGACTTTAGAACTAATATATAAATTGTGCTAAAGGAGAGGAAGGAAGTAGGAAAAAGGTTTGATTTCTTATTTCAGTTTTCAGATAATGTTTCTACATCTAGAAAGATATACTTGTTTAAGAATCAAAACTTTCACAAGTTTGTTATTAACAATTTGGGGTAGAATATCTAACAGAAACCAGCAAAATCACTAGGAGAGAAAGTATGCATGCCTCCAGAACACTAAATCAAAAACAGATAACAGAAATTGATTTCCATTTTGAAAAGAAACCCATTTTTAGCCAAACTTGAGCTCTCCTTTCCCCCAAAACACCTGAAGCTAGACAATAAATGCTTTTGAACCATAACTGTACAAAATAACTGCCATATCATGTGTATACCTGTACCATGAAAAAGTTACAAGTCTATACAAATATGAATGTAGCTTTGAGGTTGGTAAACCATTCCTGGGACAGCCAGAATACACTCCACATCCAACCTGACTATACCACTCATGGGCAAAACCTCATTGTTTTATCCAAGGATGCTTCTTTAATGAGTATATTGGTGTCAGTGTATAGCACTGATTGAAAACCTTTAGGATTTTTTACATAACTTATCCCTATGCTGGTAATGAAAAAGAAAAAAAAAATGAAAGAACTCATAGAGCATCCAAAGGAGTAGACATCTGAAAAAAATGAAAGATTGTGAAGAGGAAAAATCGTATTGTTGGGACTTGTCTACCACAAGTAAAAGCTCAAAGTTCAGTAATTTAAGTTGTCTTGCTTTTGCACAAATACAGACAAATAGGTCAATGGGACCTAAGAGTAGAGAATACTGTAAATAGATAGAAACTTGAAAGTACAGAAACATATAGTTAGTGAAAATATACTTGATAATTTGTGACACTACAAATATATTTTCTACAAAATTTGAATAGAGTAACATGAAATAAATTAGCTACCTTAGAATTCTAAGTATATTGCATACTTGAATGTGAACGGCAAAACTATAATTTGAGGATAAGCTTTATTTATTTATTTATTTTTAAATTTCTTTTTATTTTTTTAAATTTTTATTGTTGGTTGTTCAAAAC